GTGTTTATTTCAGCGCATGTGCTCAAAAGCCCGATTGGGCTTATTATCCGGGGAGGTCTTATTATTTTTGAGGTGCAGGAGGCAGCGAGTGTGGGTCACCTCATGGCTGCTGCTGTGTTGCGATATTTTGGGGGGAGGGCTTATTTTTAGGGGAGTGTTTATTTCAGCGCATGTGCTCAAAAGCCCGATTGGGCTTATTATCCGGGGAGGTCTTATTTTCAGGGAAACAGGGTAGTAATAACATGGTGGTGCAGGTAGTCCTCAATTTACAATGGTTCCTTTAGTGACTGTTTGAAGTTACAACAGCACTGAAAAAAAGGGACTTATTTCTGTTTTTCCCGCATGCGACTGTTGCAGCCTTCCCGTGGTCATGTGATCAAAATTCTGATGCTTGGCAACTGACTCATATTTATGATAGTTGCAATGTCCCAAGGCCATGTGTTCCCCTTTTGCGACCTTCTAACAAGTCAATGGAGAAGCCAGTTTCACATAACAACCGAGTTATTAACTAAACATCAGCAGTGATTCACTTAACAATGGTGGCAAGAAAGAGGCAAATGTCTCACTTAGCAACAGGAAGGTTGGGCTCAATTGTGGTTGTAAGTCGAGGACTACCTTTATTCCCTGAAAGAATGAATATTGCTTGCCCGCAGTAATAATAACAATATACATTTTAACCTATAAGGTAAAAGTAAATGTTCCCCTCGCACATATGTGCTAGTCTTTCACGATTCTAGGAGGCGGTGCTCATCTCCATTTCAAAGCCGAAGAGCCAGCACTGTCCGAAGACGTCTCTGTGGTCACGTGGCCGGCATGACTCAACGTCGAAGGCGCATGGAACACGGTTATCTTCCCACCAAAGGTGGTCCCTATTTTTCTATTTTTACATGCTTTCGAAATGCTAGGTTGGCAGGAGCTGGGACAAGTAACGGGAGCTCACTCCATTACACGGCACTAGGGATTTGAACCGCCCAACTGCCGACCTTTCCGATCAACAAGCTCAGTGTCTTAGCCACTGAGCCACTGCGTCCCTATAAACTATATTAACCTATAAACATTTGAATTTTCCACCTTATTCTGTGAGGTGTAAATAGCCAGCCACTGTATTTAAATACACTGTTAATCTTCAATAAACCTTTGATGAGCTGAAGCATTCACAAGATTACCTCCAACAGGAATTTAAAGATGGGATTCAAGTGACTCATTCATGCAGTCAATGCAACTTTTATTCCCATTTAGTTATAACAGTGCAGATGGGAATATACATCTTCTTCCAGAGCCTTTAAGTTAATCTAACATGAAAACCTAAAGCCAGGTACAGGACAGTGGTGGGTTCCGGATCCCGTTGCAATGGGCCGGCGTCCACATGAACGTGTGCGGCACCCGCACGCGTCCTTACCTCCTGCGACGCTCCAGCTACTCGGCGGAGTGTTGCGCAGGCGCCATACACTCCATGCATGGAAGCGCCGAAGAGTTCAAATATAGGTAAGGAGCGCGGGCGGGCGGGTAGGCCCTCTGGAACACCGTACCGGTACCCGGTGCTCTTGGCACGCACCGGTATGCCTGTACCGGTTGTAGCCCACCCGTGATACAGGATGTTCCCTTGCAGTTTCAGCCCTGACACCTTACAGTTGATTGGTAACTTCCTTGCAACAAACTCTTTTAAGAATCTGGTATCCCAAAGGTGGGAAGGTCATTCTGGATGATATTTAAAGCTCCTGGGAAAATAAGAGGAATAAATATTCATATAGATTAAATGAAATACAGAAACCTTCAGTAATTATGTCCTCCATCTCTGTGTCTGAGGAGTTGTCTGCATGTTTGGCATTGTTCTGAAGCTCCGGTTCAACACACATAACATTCACAACTTGCTCCTCCAATAAGAGTCTCTTTTTTGCAGGCTGGTCAGTCAGAAGAGATGAACAACTTACCTGTTAACAGAAGAAGACAAAATCATTAACAAAAATAAATAAATGTTTGATTTCTCATATCAAGTGTCTGAAGAGTTCAGGGCTTTGCTGATTTGGTAATCTAGCTACTGCTACAAGGACATACAGAGCCATAGATTAGATGCTTCTATCAATTTCAAAGACAGGCACCAGTATAGCCATTAGAGGGGTGGGGTGTCCAGAGGCTATGGGTGAACCACCAACATATGGAAGAAAATGTGAAATAAAATATGGAGATGTGAAGGGGGAAAAAATCAGTTTTTAGTATGAAATAACCTTTGTTTGAATCTTCCATTTGTGGCTTTGTAATGAGATGCCACAGAAAAAGAAAAATGTTATCTTCAGGATACATCCTGAGTTACTGTTCTATTCTATTAAGAGGAAATGGGATTATATTCTGCTGTCTCTTTCCAGCCCTGACATGCACAGGAAAACAGACAGGGAAATATAACTTTTTGTTATGAAAGAGAAAAGCAACCAACTTTAGGATGAAGGGCCATAAGTTGAAAACACACATTTATATTTAGTTAGTTAGTTAGTTAGTGTGTGTGTGTGTTTTTCTGCGTGTGTCTGTGCATACTGGGATTTTCCATTTGCCTTTGGATGTGCAGCTCTTATGTGCAATTTTGCAAGCTGCGCTGAATGCTAACAGTACATTTAAATCTATCAATACATTTAATAATAAAGGAATACAAATAATTGCATTTATGAAAGAGAAAAGTATTGAGCCTTAGTTGTGTTTAAAAGATGTCTTCAACAAAAAGGCAGGAGTCCATGCTTCCTGCCCAATGGAAAATGTCACCTTACTTCTACCCTGATGGCATCTTTGAGAAGCAACCTACCCCTGGGAAGGAACTGGTTTCCACTCAAAAAGACAATGGGAAGGACAAAGAAAAATCAACACAAGGAATCACACTTCTCGACCAAACACTTAATATTCCTCAACTATAGGATAAGTATTTTAAAAAAAATCTCTTAAGAAAAATAATTAAAAACAGATCAGTTTAAATATAGTTTAAATGTAACTTTAGAGACATTGTTTGGTTATTTTAAAATTCCCAATTCAAAATTATTGATGGACTAATTCCCGACATTTATCTCCAGGTTATGCTTTTTTTCCCTTCCCCGAGTCAACATAGTTTACAGAGATTTACAGGAAGCAAATACAATCATTACTAAGACTTATGGGCCCATCATAATTTTATTTATTAAAAATATTTAGCTATGCAGTTCACCAGAAGTGACTCTAGTGAGAATGCTGTTGATGTTGGGGAAAGGAGATTCGGTCATTTTGCTTTTATGTCAGTGGTGGGATACAACCGGTACGCCCCAGTACGGGCATACCGGTGCCTGCTGGGAGCACCAGGTATTGTTCCGGTACGGTGCTCCAGAGGGCCCACCCGCCCGCTTGTCTTCCTTACCGGTATTTGAGCCGATCGGAGCTTCGGCGCATGGAGCGTACGGCGCCTGTGCAACACTCCGCCGAGCAGCTGGAGCATCGCGGGCGGTAAGTACGCATGCGCATGCTGCGCATGTGCATGTAATGGACGAGCCGCCCCCGTTGTACCGTACTGGTTGCACCGGGATTTGGAACCCACCACTGTTTTATGCTTATTCTTGATAACACTCAACACGTATTTTATGACCTCACATTTGTTCTCCATTTATGGTATATCCAACCACCCATGTGGTAAGTCTTACGTTACAAAATTTGGTGGGTAGGAACATGAACCTTTTTAGGGAGAGATTGTAGGAAGGATTTTTGGTAGCAAATATTCTCAAAGCGTTTGGTCCCAACTTTTCCAACCAACAAATCTGACTAAAAGGCATACATTTTTGTGAGTTGCCTGATCCTTTCCAGCAGAGGTCATTCTGATTGCAGTCACTAAAGTTCAGAACGTTGTTGAGCAGAAAGCTTAAAACTTCACTGGCTTCATGAAGAACAGACAATAATGATTAATAAGACAATTAGTCTAAATTATTCAGAGTAACAAAGATTAAAGAAACAGAAGCCCCAAATAACCACAGCACATTGCCTTTTAAAAGGAAAATATCACACATAGAAGGTGCAACGATGTATTTTTTTTTGCACTTACACTTACAGGAAATGGTTCTAAACCCTCTTGGATCACAAAACCCTCAATGACATGAGTCAGGATTTGTGGTTTAACGATAGCCTGTGGAAGTTTGATTTCTATACTAGGGTTTCTATTGGACACTGATGCGCTGTGAGTCCTTGTTGCAATTGCTGGGAGCAAAAGAGGTGGCAGTGGAATAGAGGCATGCGAAGGGTCTGATGGTGATTTAATTACAGATGCGCTGACTGATGAGGCCATTGAAGAATGTCCCTCTTGTTCTGGAAAAAAAAGTAATGTATGTATTTTTAAATAACTCAAAATACCTTCATAATTATAGAAAGCAATACTTTCATTCACAACGTGGCTACTACAGAAGTCTCTTCCCATATATATTGCATCAACTGACATGGAACTTTGGAAAATGAAGCAGATCTGGGGACCATATAGAACAGTGATGTCTAACCTTTTTGTTGTTGGGTGCCAAAAATGCGAGTGTGCATGCATAATAGTGTGCGCGTGTGCCAGCACCAGAATGCAAAGCGTGTCCCCACATGTGCATGCGCACACAAACCTACGCTCCCTCCCCCCATGTGGGCTGCACTGCTTGCCTCCAAGCTGAGGTTGGTATTGCCTCTGGGGGGGCTGGGGAAGGCCGCTTTTGCCCTCCCTAGGCTCCAGGAAAGCTTCCAGAGCCTGGGGAGGCTGAAAAACGGGCGCAACAGCCCTACCGAATTCCAGTAGGCCTGTTGGGTCTGTTTTTCACCCTCCTCATCTCCAGAGGCTTTCCTGAAGCCTGGGGAGGGTGAAAACGGTCTCCCTTGGCCCTCTGGAAGTCCGAAAATCAGCTGGCATGCGCACTGGAGTTGACGGCTTGCGTGCCGGCAGATATCACTCCTCGTGCCACCTGTGGCATGTATACCATAGGTTCACCATTACGGATATAGAATTTCCACACATTTATTTCTTCTGGAGCAGGCAGACTGTGGTTCTGCTAGGGCTTTGCTGCCCTCATGAGGTTGATTGTATCTCTTGATTCCTCTTCATTTATCTGCTCCAGCAAATTTATTCACCCATTTGCAGCTAACCCTGCGTGTCTGGAAGACCCAGCACCTAAATTAGATTTCTTTGACTCTCAAGGCCTGAGGAATGTAAAGCATTCTCTACAGATTCTACAGTATCCAAGGCTGCGGCTTCGGACTAAAAGAACTCTATGGTTGTTGGGGCTTTGCAAAAGAGGTCTTCAACAAATCAGAAAATGACCAGTGGCTTCAAGATTGACAAGCTAGTAAGGGAGAGGCCAATGGATAAAGAACAGAATGGTTTTATCCTCTTTCTTCTAGTAATCTCAGCTGCAACAAGGCTCCCCATGTGAATGTATTCTTGAAAATGTCCATCCTACCATCAAACCCTTGTATGCAGCCCATGTGGCCAATAAAGTTTCCCACCACCAATGTTCTATCTCTGAAAGCATCCATTCCTGCTTGCGTTTGTGAAAACGCACAAGGAATAACTCAAGTAGTAATTCCCAGCTGTCCACTATTATCTACTGCTCTTCTGAGGTTTGCAGACAGCTTAAGTGAAACAGTTTGCGGCTCAACTATGTTTGTTAACCTGCATGGCTTTTTTCCTCCTTGTAACTTAGCGTATTTTTCAGAGTATAAGACACTCCAAAGTATAGGACGCACCTAGCTTTTGGGGAGGAAAACAAGTAAAAAAAATCTGCCTCTTTGCAGCAAACAGCTCTTTTCAGTTTCAGTGGCCTCCCAACGATCAGCTGTTTCAGGCTGCAGGGATTGCCATAGCCTATTGCCGCCTCCATGCATCCCATTTTCAGCCTCTGCATGCCCCATTTTCTGCCCATTCCAGGTGGTGGGAATCAGAATGGGCGGAAAATGAGATGCTCAGAGGCCAAAAATAGGATGCGGAGACTGAAAATGGGGTGCACGAAGTGGCAATAGGCAATGGCAATCCCTGCAGCCTGAAACAGCTGATGGTCAGGAGGCCGATCCAACCAACAATCAGCTGCTTGTGCTAATCAAGCTGTGCTGAAGCTGAAACTGAAACAGGCTGTTTTCTGTTTGCTGGAAGGAGGCAAATTACTGGGAGGCAGAGATCAAAGGGTGGGGGCCGGCAGGTAGGCAGGGCTACATTCAGTGTAAAAGACACACCCAAATTTTCACCCTCTTTTAGGGGGGAAATGTGTCTTATACTCCGTAAAATATGGTAATTATTCCCCGTGTTGCATTCTAAAATAACAGTTCTTGCCTTTCTTTCCTCTGACATTTCTCTCAATAAAGAATATTTGTAGCTCGAGGCTGAAATGAGGGGTACTTGGTGATCTCTGAGCTTGGTTGTTTTCTTGCAGATGTTTCATTACCCAAACTAGGTAACATCATCAGTGCTTTTGTCTGAATGTTACCTAGTTTTGGTAATGAAACATCTGCAAGAAAACAACCAAGCTCAGCACCGGGGGCCCCTCTGATATCTCATCAGGTATATGAAGAGATCCACTGTGTCCCTTTTTAGTCTTCTCTTCTCAAAGCTGACCATTCCCAGCCCCTTTTCTTTTTCTCCCTTCATAGGACTTCACTTCTAGTTCTCTGGTTAGCCCGTCTTTATCTGATGCTGTTCTAATTTGCCTGGATCCTGCTTCAATTTTAGTTATGCAATTGCCCTGTGCAAATAAATGCAACAATGGGAGGTAACCAAATGAATCAGTGCACTAAAATGTGGGGGTTGAAATGCAATGTTTATTGTGGGAATTTAGCATGCAATGACAAACACAATAGAGACACCATATATTTATTGACCAACACCTGGTTTGCAGATGATCAGATTTTTGTAGCTCTAAAAAGTTTTGAAGTTTCAGTTTCCTAATGGTTCCCTTTTACCAAGCAGGGGAAAACCCACCTTGGGCAATATATATAGCCTCATTATTTTCTCTAATTCCTACAGCTCAGCAACACTCACTGTCAGTTAAAAAGTAAAGGTTCCCCTCGCACATATGTGCTACTCATTCCTGACTCTAGGGGGCGGTGCTCATCTCCATTTCAAACCCAAAGAGCCAGCGCTGTCTGAAGTCTCCGTGAACATGTGCCCGGCATGACTGATAGCCAAAGGCGCACGGAACGCTATTACCTTCTATTCCTACTTCTTACCTTCTATTTTTCTATTTGCATTTTTACATGCTTTTGAACTGCTAGGTTGGCAGAAGCTGGGACAAATAACGGGAGCTCACTCTGTTATGCGGTGCAAGGGATTCGAATCGCCAAACTGCTGACCTTTCTGATCCACTAATCCCTTTAGCCCCCACATACTTGTTCACATAATACAACCGTATTTTTCGGAGTATAAGACGCTCCANGCTTACAGAAACTGCCTCTCCGATTAACCCTTATTACATTGTAACAACTAAGGCAAAGGGCCCATCGATGTCAGTGACGTCGAGTTGTCCACGCCCACCCCGTCACATGACCATCAAGCCCCGCCTACCCAGCTGGTCATTAGGGGCAGAGAACTGGTTGTTAAATTATTTGAATCCCACCACAGATATGGTAGCAAGGAAGAACAAAAGTTCCCTCATGAACTGTTCTAATCAGGCAGTTTGAAGTGGTCCATAAACAACTCAGAATAGACTTGTTTTGAGATTGGATAACTTCCAAATCAAAATATTGTGTAATGGAAACTTTCCCATATTCCCCACTTGGTAGTTCTCTGTGTCATGTTTACAAGAGGGTTTTGTTTTTTTTAAATTACTTTTTGGGAAAAAACTTCCAGTTGTTTTCCTCAAAACTTTCACAGTGTTAATAGATCAAGCTGCAGTAGTGACCTAAGCGCTGTCAAGTCATCCATTTTGGCGCCACTCATCTCTCTCCACATTTGTCAAAATCTCCTAACTTCATAATTATCTCAAAAGATCTTAGTACATTATCAGTGCTTTCGCTATAATTTGCAGGGTATTGAAAATATCTTCTGAAATTCTGAAAAGGCAAATCAATTAACAGAGAGCAAACCCCACTTCCTTCTAGCCCTGAAAACATTACCTATTTGGGGAATGAAACGCCTGGAAGCGAATAACCAAGGACTCCGCAAACTATTTTCTGCATTTTTAAACCTTAAGCTTATTTTAAGCTCCTTTCTGCCTTTCAGATTTGTACTTCGAAGTGACTGTTGCCTTGGTGCCGTTGGCTGTATGTTATCTAATGCAGACCTGTGTAGACGTGTTCCTGAAACTATTTTGGTTTAGATTAAAATCTCATTTATTTAATTATAATTTATTATTTGAAAACTTCAGACAAAACAGGGTGCAAAACAGAGTGCAGGGGGTGTGGCGAGCCCCTCCCCCATGCCTTGTTTTTGCTCTGAGAAGGCTGCAGGGAGGCCTACTAGGCCCAAAACGGGGCAGGTGTGCATGTGTGCGTATGCACAGGGGAGCACGGTGTTGCACGCACATTGCATTCTGGGTGCAGCACACAACAACAGAAAGGTTAGCCATCAATGACCTATTATATAGTGCAGCTTTCTATGGAGTAGCATATATGGCTGATACCATAGTTGACTAATTAGACTTACTTGAATACAGGCAGTTAGGAAATATCCACATTTTTGGGAAGGGGAGGGGACAGTTAGCAATAGCAATAGCAATAGCAGTTAGACTTATATACCGCTTCATAGGGCTTTCAGCCCTCTCTAAGCGGTTTACAGAGTCAGCATATTGNTTTAAAAAATAAGTCTAATAATTTGAACATTCTATAAGCATTTACAGTTATTGACTTACCTTCTTGCAGCAAACAGCAAACAACCCGATTAGCACAAGAAAAAAATCTGCTTCTGCCTCATGGAGTTTCACTTTCAGTTTAAGGGTGCCTCCCATCATCAGCTGGCTGCAGGGATTGCTTTGGCCTATTGCAGCCTTCACAAACCCCATTTTCCCCGTTTGCTGCAAGGAGGTAAATTGCTGGGAGGCAGAGGCCAAAGGGTGGGGGACAGTGGGGCTACATTCAGTGTATAAGACACACCCAAATTTTCACCCTCTTTTAGGTGGGGAAAAGGTGTGTCTTATACTCCGAAAAATACGGTAGCTCTCTCCATTGCCTCCAATATTTTTGAGCTGCCTAAGCTTGAGGTGTCAAGATGAAGAGAGATCAGTTGATGACATTCCTTTTCTTCTTTCTGCCTTGCACCAAGGGTGACTTTATGTTTTTAAGACAAGGCAATCCAATCTATGAGCTTCCACATTCTTGCTTTCAATTTACAAAAAAGCCTGATTTTCAAAATGCCTTCAGCAGTACTGCACAGCCCTTAGAACTTAAAGATGATACCATGTTTTCCCGAAAATACGACCTTCCTGAAACTAAAGCTTGTCACATTTTTTGTGTGGGCAAAAATATAAGCCCACCCCCCGAAAATCAGCCCCTTGGACAATCCCCCCCTTCGGCCAGGCAGAGCACCACTCACCGACCTAGCGGTATCCCGAAGGCGCCAAGCCGCGGGAACAAGGTGGGGAGCAAAGGTGCTCGCGTTGCTTGGTGCTTTCAGACTACTGCTAGGTTGGTCAGCGGCGCTGTGCCCAGCTGAAAAGGGGAGGCTGCCAGGCAGCTGCTCCCTTGTGAGCGGGCTCCCGAAGAGCCGGGCACAGCCTCAGGGTCGAATGGCTGTGTTGCGCTGTTGCAGCAGCAACACAGCAGCCATGAGGTGGCCACGCTTGCGAGCAGCCGCCCGGCAACCCCCCTTTCCAGCTGGGCACAGCGCTGCTGACCAACCTAGCGGTACCCTGAAAGCACCTGACTCTGCAGAGTTAGCCAAGGGCATCGTGAGCCTGTGAGTCGCGCGAGTGGGGAGCGGAAAAGCTGCTCGCACAACTCCCCCCCTTTCCAGCCATGCAGAGCTCCATTCACTCACCTAGGGCATTCCGAAGGCGCCGAGCTGCAGGAGGCGGAGGGCGGCGAACAGGTGCTCACATTGCTTGGTGCCTTCCGGGTACCACTAGATTGGTCAGCGGCACTCTGCCCGGCTGGAAAAGGAGTTTGCCAGGCGGCTGCTCGCGAGCGTGGCCACCTCATGACTGCTGTGTTGCTGCTGCAACAGTGCAACACAGCCATTCGACCCTGAGGCTGTGCCTGGCTCTTTGGGAGCCCGGTCGCAAGGGAGCAGCCACCTGGCAACTCAAAAACAATAAGCCCTCCCCTTTAATAAGCCCAAGGCCATATTTCGTGGGTCTAAAAAATATAAGACCTTGTCATATTTTCGGGGAAACTCGGTATGTCTATAGAGATTCTCAGTCTTCCAGGTCATGGTTGTCCCCAAGGTGTTTTTTTAAAGAGGCAACTGGACTTTCTGGTTTTTCCTTGAAGACGTTTCACTTCTCATCCAAGAAGCTTCTTCAGCTCTGACTGGATGGTGGGGAATGGAAGGATTTCTACTCCTTGCAGACAGCTGGTCATTTGCATGCTTTTAGTAGGTCGCTAAGGCCACCTGGAGGTTTATGTGTGTCATCCAGGGTCACCTGAGTGGTGCAAATGGGTGTGGGGCCTTCTTGGAACTGTTGAAAGGACTGTGTTGTAGACTGGAGATAGATGATGTTGTATCCCTCCTTCTCTGTTGAGAGAAGGCTGTTCAATTTTGACATAGATGGCCTCTTTAACACAGTCCTTTCAACAGTTCCAAGAAGGCTCCGCACTTGAAAAAAAGCACCTTTGGGACTTACAGGTGATGCCATGAAACAAGACATCTGAGCCAGAAACTGGGCTCGGTTACAATACCACAATGTGTGTTCTTTTTCTCACCTGCAAAAGCGTCTTCGTAAGAAAGCTCTTCGCGGCTTCTTAAAGTTATAGCTGGTGGTGACAGCGTTGGTGGGGTGGGAGTCCTAACCATGCGAACACCATCTGAGTCCTCAGGCATCTCATCTTCACAGACATCTTCCTCCTGGTAAAGCTGCATTGAACAAATCAACCCTCTTTAGAGTCAAGCTTTGTGGGTATTTTGTTAACCATTTGAAAAATTATTTGCAACTACTGTCAGTTTGTTTATTAAAATCAATTCTCAAGAAATGTTAAATTAATTTTTTAAAGGCAAAACCTTAAAAACAGATCAGATAGCAGGCTAAATGAATTAGATT